GACCTCGCCCGACTGTCCGATGACGTCTGACAGCCAATAATCGGGTTGGTGTGCAGAGGCCTTTAAACACACTGCAGGGAAATGTATGTATCCAATTAATTTATTGTAATTTGCATTTAAACAGGACAAAAACAACTATCAGGGGACCTCTGTATTCATCCAAAATAATTTAGTTTGTGTTGGAAATTTTCACTGGACCAATTACACACATGGAAGGTTCACACAGGCTTACTGAGCTTGGTCAATATTATAACTACTGGATATCCAGAGACTTTATGTGCCCTGTAGGGGTAAGAATTAAAATAAATCCTCAAGGTTTCAATCTCAAAAATAACAATAATTTAATGAAAACTCGACAGTAATTGAAGGAAAGTTTGCAGAGGATCAGTCAGTGCAAAAAACCCAAGACAAAGTGATTAAAAAAGGGCAAATTTATTTAAAGCACTTATATAGAAAAATATGATTGATTTGAGTCAACAATAATAAATAGAGTGCCTGACCAGGCCCAGGCCCTGTCGGTACAACAGTACAATCAATATCCAGTTTCACAATACAGCAAAGGCACTAGCATTTACCACAATCAACAACAAGTCAATGGAGGCGGCGTGGATGGCAGCGGGGGGAGGGGGGCACAGTTCATTCCTCAACAAACCTAATTCTGTCTGAGCCCGCGGCCGTCACGTACGCTGCCACGCCATCGTGCTCCTCGTTCGGCCTCATCCTGTGTGGAAATTCTACGAGATTCGAATCGATTCGGCTCCGCTCGCCTTTTGTCCGAATGCAGATAGGGATTGAGAAAATAAAAGGGACACAGTGTTCTTTAACACAAATGGAAGTGAGAAGATTAAAAGAGGAGGCGAATGATTAAAAAACAAAAAGCCTTCAGCTCTGCTGTCGGTCCCCGAGAGGCCACCATTCTTCTATTATTGGAGCTGAAGTAAGGTTTGTCCTACGCTTCGGGGAAAGGACCTAAAAACAATATCATCCTTTGGGGAGCTTGAATCTACAACAGAATATCAGGCCAATAACTTTTCAAATAGTTTGTCAGGGGCCAAAGATTTGGTCAATCAAACTCAACTCAAACTCAAATAACTCACATTTAGTCTACAGACACTAAAATCCCCCTCTGGGGACCGTGTTACTACACTCAGTTGAGATTATTCGACAAATACACTGCCATCGTCAGGAAAAAAAGATAAAAAGAAATAATTTAATTAGGAAGATTAAAGTCCAACTGAAACTGAATTACACATTTTCCTTTTGCTGAACACATAGGCTATAGTGCTAATTAGCTTTATTCTTCACCTTAGGAACAGCAGTTAGCTCAGTCCACTAATCGCGTACCCATACAATGGTGCTTTGGTCATGTGATTAACAACCACCTGTTATTGTGAGATGTCAGATTATTTATTCCGGCTAATCGGTGAGTTGACGCAGTCGTACATTTAAAAACTGGATATGAGATTTGTCAGTTTAGATATAAAATGGTCATTTTTCTTTAATGACGCCATTTATCCTTTACTTGTTAACTACAGTCAAATTAGTTTTACCCTCAGAAGAGGTCTTCATGGGTAGTCCAAAAATGACAGTCGGACCCCTAAAATTATTCTGTGACGATTATGCCCGAAAAAACCTGGATCTAGTTTGTAAGCTGAATTTCAGTCAGACTTTGAACAGACTGCAGAAAGATATGAATTTTGTAATTTCAGTTGGACTTTGGTACAGTAGATGGCACACACATCAAGTGAATCAGACACATTTTAGACATAATGGCACAAACACAAGAAACTGAAAAAGCTCCTGCCCTTCGTCCGAGTGCAGCAGTTTGATTTCAGAGCTGACAGCTTTATTATTAACAACTCACTGTACGGTCCGTGTTGGTCGCGTGAGTTGGTCCCAATCAGATACATCTGCTATCAGTAGAAGATTTTTGCTTCTTTCAGTGGAAAGAATTAAGGGAGAAAACGGACTATTTTTCTTATGCGAAAAGAACATGTAGTGCAACTCTTTACATGCAAGCAAATATATGATCAAGACAAAAGCGAGATGACATTGACGACAATCAGTAAGCGTGTTGAAGACGAGCTGTATGATGCAGCTGGATCATACACTCAGACACACACATACAAAGCACATCCCTGAAGCTCACAGAAATAACTTGACAGGGACATGATGGATTTTCATTTAAAGACGTCAGAAAATATAGAAAGGAAAAAATAAACTGATTCTTATGTAAAGTCGTTAATCAAAACAACGTGAATGTTTTTTCATTGGTTCTGATTTACACTGGAAAAAAGAGAAGTATCATTAAATATCTCAGTATATGGGAAGTGATAAGGCTTAAATCTTTCTCCAGTTCGACTGGCCTTGCAAATATGACTCAAATGTCTCTCTTTAAATGTTTCCCCAAAACACATGTCCCATCATGTCCAGATATCCACCAGTCCATAGTGTGTCTTCTGGAAAAAAATAAAGCCCTGATTGTCAGAACAAATTGTAAGAATATGGTTGTTATTTCCCGGCCTTAAAGCTAGTCCCATCACATCCACACTGGGCAGAATCCACAGTGAATCCTGCGTTTGGGAGATCCGCCGCCACTTTTTTTTTTTTTCGTCTCTGCGTCTCATCACCTCGAGGTGGAGTCGACTGGAGAATTAATGCACAGGAGCCCAACAATGTTCCTAAGGGCTGTAAAGCTTTACCGTCATTGTTTGCGCCCAGCGGTGATGCGCCCCGTGGCGCAGCGCTGCGCCGGTACATGTCCGAGCTCTCAGGTCAGGAGCTTGGAGGCTGACAGACTCGCCGGCTCTCAGCAGATCGGTGTTGTTCTTGTTTTTTTAGATGTTCCTCTGGGCAGTGAGGTACTTGAGAGCAGCCGAGCCGTACTTCCTGGACAGGTCCTGGTGGAACTCATCCTTCAGGGTGTTCAGACAGTTGCGGTAGCTGGAGCTGGAGCGAAACTTGGAGATGTCGAAGCTAGGAGCGTGGGGCATGTGGATCATGAAAGCATTGGGGAGGACCATCAGGTCGTACTCCTGAGGAAAGACAACAGAACACGGAAATAATGAAAAGCTTTTCTCATCTCAGAAACAAATATCCCGCTTTGGCTTCCACAAACATTATATAAAGAATTTTTTTACTCCCACACAACCGAGAGTTACTGAAACTGTTCTCTCGAGGTTCCCTTCTTTAAACAAACCTTGAATAAGCTGTTTGCAGAATGCATCATTCACTCCAAACAAACTCTCAGCTCATGTAGAGAAATAATAACTTGCAGTGATGTGGTGTGCAGTGAGATTTGAATTTCTGCAACAGCAAACATTGTATTTCTTATCATAATAACTTATTTATTGTTCAGGTTCAGGATAACTTCTGGGCTTTGTGTCTATTCGAACAGGTTTCATCTTCATTCCTCTCGGCTACGAAACAAACAGAACAAAGTTAAAATGGATGAAGTAAGTTTATATTGTCATAACCACTGTTGGTAGCTTGTTGTGATCAGAAATAATAAACCACACATTAAAAAATGGCATATTTAAGACATTTTAAGGCCCTTTAAAAGACCCCGCAGACACCCTTTTTAAAGTTGTTGGTATTATTTTAAATTAAATTTTAAAATATGACATCAGCTTTTCCATTTGCTTTTTTAAACACTAGTTTCTAAGTCCAAGCACTTTTTTAGTTATAACTCTGCATTTAAAACGTAAAAGTGTAGGAAACTGAGACTTGTTTTAAGACTGTCTGAGAAGATGAGGATTAGCTTAACACTTTTGCACATGGCATGTACGTGAAAGAAAATCACAGGTGTGTTTGAAATACCCTCATTGACCTAAAAGCCCTGCCCTCTATAACCAGCCATCATGGTGCATCATGGTGCAGATGTACCTGTGCATCCAGCTCCATGATGTGGGACACTTTGTTCCAGCCGAAGCCCACGAAGCGCTGGTCGTACTCTGGACAGTCCCGCCTCACCACAACGTACGGCTCAAAGTCTGGCTCCCACTCCACCTTATAGGGTGTGGTAGCTGTTCGCCATTTGGCATAGTTGGTAGGAGCATGACCTTTGGGCCACACATGGTACCTGGAGAGGCAGGAAGAGATGCATTACTTTCCAATTTACTCCCCCAATCATTATTCATTAATTTGTTGTTTCTGTTCAGGTACCTGAAGGTGTAGAGAGTCCCCATGTCCAGCATGGAGAGCAGCTCAGCTTTGGATTTGGGGAAGGACAGGCGGTAACGAAGCGTCTCGAAGGCTGGAACCACCAGAGCCTTCTTGGTGTGAACCATGTCCAGCTGCACCACAGACTTTCTGCATGCAGGAAACGGGCAGGTGAGATACAGCCACAGTGTTTATAGCAGTGGTTGGTGACCCCAAACGGACTATGTGACATATATCATGGATATTTCATATTATATACAATGCATAATAATAACAACAGTAGATAACAACTGATGAACTGAACAATGAACACAAAAACTGAATAATTTGGATGAATTCTGAGCAGATTATTTCCTGTGAATATTGATCAGAGATCAGTTTTCTTACATTTCCATCTGTATAATGTAGTTTTTACATGTATTAATTACAATTGCAAAAATTCTTTATTTTAAATTATTTTGAACATAATTAGTATCTGCTTCATGGTGACAAACATTTTTCATTTGGCAAATTCAACCTTTTTCAAGGCAGACATTTTGACATTTCATAACAGAAAAAGCATCAGAGTTGTAATAACATTAATAATGGAGGCTTTCAGTTATGACAGCCTGTTGTAGGGTTCAAATATTGTTCATGCTCTGTGCTCAGACTGATAACCAGGTTGCTTTAAAACAATGTGGGCATGTGTTTGTACAAGCAAAAAGATTAAATACGATCCATGAAGTCCAGTGAGAGTAACATATCAATGAGTTTGAAGGTTTATCAGACACAGATACTGCACAGCTGTTTATAATGCCACGATGAACAATATTACGGCTTAAATTGTTTTGTACTCGGTCTCATGAACAGGGTGTTTCTACTGTTTACCTGTGAACCGTCGTGAAAGTAATCTAGCAGAAACGGAACCTTGTGTGGCAGCTGGACTTAACAATCCTTCTTTCAAGGCTTCAATCGATACCTGTGAGCTAAACTACAGTAGTACTGGACAAATCAGCACCTTCTGAGTAAGTACTGGCAGCTATCTGGGATTGATTCTTTTATTTCATTTTGAAAAGTACTAAATCAAACGTATTATTACTCTTTTAATAAAAGCCAGAGTCAACTTCTTTACTGATGACTCTGCATTATTTTTGCATGAGTCAACAAAGTACTGAAATTAATGTTATTAGTTACTCCTGTGCTTTTCTTGCTAAGACAATTTAATTATGTCTGCTATGAAGAAGGTCTATTATAGCCTGCTGACTTGGTAATTCTAGACTTGGACTCTGAATCGGTGTATATGTTAAATTTAATACATTTTAAAAGACCGTTTCCATCCATTTTAAGACCTCACTGCCACTTTCAGTAAGAGTGCAACATAGTTCAGATAGGCTGGGTGGAAACAAAGAGACTGAATTGAGTGACTTATCCAATGCAAGGTTTAGTAGAATGAGTCATATCAGTAAGAGCTAGAAAGGCAAACTCCTGTGCACAGGGAGGCCGGTCTTACCTGAGGTAATCATAGAGACCGTACATCGGCAGGAAGTCCACATCGGTCAGAAACACGTATGGCGTGTTGGCGTTCTTCAGGGCCACGTTCCTCACCAGGTTAACGGGGTAGAACTGGCCTTCCTTGTAGACGATGTGGTAGCCGACATTCTTGCGGTTCTTGAGGACCTCAGAGGCCTGAGCGTAGCGTAGGAACTGCTGAGCCTCAGCGTCGGACATGTAGAGCGCAAGACTGATGGGACCTTCCCAGTGCTTACAGATGGCCTCCAGCATCTGCAGCCTACAGATAAAGTCAGGTGTGTTATTGCAACTTACTTTCACTAAAAAATAATCTCTCAATTGTTTAGTATTGGTTCGGTACCTGTCCATGGACAGCTGGGCCACCAGTGTGACGTCAGTGTCGTCCTCGGTGGGCGTGTACTCGTACTGCAGGAAGTAAAGGTGCACTCGGTGAACTGTGAGTCGCTCCCGACGGAAGTCGTAACACTGATCATCCTCGTCCAGCTCCTCCAGAGCTGCCTGCAGCTGAGGAGACACACACAACAGAGCTCTGAGGAATTCTTCTTAAAGTACAGAAAGCCAAATCAACAACCATTTCGTTGACTGGCAAAAACGCAAAAAAGGAACCAAACCTGGACTGAGGATAAATAAATCAAAGTCCCCCCTCATAGATTTTGGATCTTTTTTATGAAAGTGATTATGTTTACTCTCAAAAATCAATTGGCTTAAGCCTTGAATATTCAGTCGGGATCAATTTCAAAATACCCTCAAGTACCATAATACGACAGAGCCTTGTGTGTGTGTGTGTGGTGTGGTGTGTGTGGTGTGTTGTGTGTTGTTTGTGTGTGTGTGTGTGTGTGTGTGTGTGTGTGTCTCACCTGGACGGTCTCTGGACTGGCCTGACTTGGGCAGCCGAACAGCTCTCGCCTCAGCAGGTTTCCATCATACTCCAAAAAGGTCAGGTAGAGGTTCCTGAAGAACTCCACGTGTTTGTTCTTCACACGGAGCTTCTTTGGAGAGTTCCAGTGGATCACCTGAAATCACAACAAGGACGTACATTTCCATGGTTACTTCAGTATTTCCATTTCAGGAGATAGAAAATATTTCAGAGGGAATCATAGTTACTCTGCTGATTTCAGTTATACATGAGATAAATATTGTAGCCTGAAGAAGCAGACATCCAAAGGGATTGATATGTTTACTGTGCTCAGTTTTCTTTTAGGCTTCTTAAAACCTCTCTGGGTTCATGATATTTGGTTCAGAAACTTAGTCTGCTGCAATGTAAACCCATTTTCTAAAAACGCTGACCATCAATCAGAACACTGTGTGTGTGTGTGTGTGTATGTGTTTGTAGGATTTCACCCCCTAGAAGGCACCATACAATGAAACTCTTTCAGCACCCAGAGGATACTTTTTGTAAATGTTTTGTGTAAATGTATGTGACATAATGCATTTCCTAACCCCTTAAACTGACCTGAACCATCACAACTGAGTGCCTTAACCTAACCCCACTCTACCCCTGACCCGAAAGCCAAGTCTTAACCCTCAAACTGCCCTTTAAACCTGTGGGGTCCAGCAATACGGATTCCACAAATATAGTAAAACAAGCCCCCACAAACAGTCCTGATATCAGCCTGAATATGTGAAATCACTTGTGAGGTTGGACCATATGTCAGTTCTATTAGTTTTCATACATCAGTATATTTTACTACCAGTTTTAGGGATGCACGATAATTATCGGGCAGATAAATTATTGGGATCATTAAAGTACAGGCAAAAAATGATCAGTTGATGTTTATTTGGAATTCTTATGCAAAATGTTTGATAAACTTTATGTTCCATGAAAGCCAAATTATGTTTGTTAATGAACTTTACCAGAAAAAATAAATGAACATTTGAAGGATCAGAACTGTTGTTGTTGTTGTTGTTGTTGTTGTTGTTGTCGTTGTTGTCATTGTCAACAGTGATGTGAGTCAGATTTGGTGAGATCAGTCTTTGTGGATTCATTTAAGAATAATTATTTGTTTGTATAGAGGTTCTGTAACACTGTCTCTGGATGACAGCTCTCTGCCTCAGCTCTAACTCACTGATTGATCTGTGTGTGCGTGTGCGTGTGTGTGAGTGTGAGAGAGAGACTGTGTGTGTAAGTCTACCTTGAGGTCGGACACCTCGGTGTAGCACTGCTCGGAGCGGGTGTGATCAGACAGCTGGACGTTCCAGAAGCAGGGCAGTTGGTGCACCAGGACCGGGTTCTGCTTTATGAAGGCGTTGAAGATGTCCTGCACACAGCACACAGACAGAGAGAGAGACAGCTTTAACAAAACTTACAGCAGCTCCTCCGTGCTACTGGCCTGTCTGCGGGCCTGCACGGACACACACGGATGCTTGTTTGACAGTGAGTCATCGCGGCATCAAGGTTGAAGCTGCAGCCGCAGAGAGAGGAGCCATATTATCTGTCTGCTGGTCCCCTGGCAACCTCGGCTTTGATTGTACAGTCTGTAGGGTTGTTTACAAAGGCAGGCCGCACTGTGTGTTTTAAAGAACAATCAGGGTGCTTGGTCGAACAAACACACCTAAAGAGACTAATCTGAATGATGCAGCACAGATCAAAGATGTTTCATACTGTACATTTGAGATGAGACTGGTGCATCCGACCTTTCAGATCTGTGTAACAAAGGGGATGTTCCACCTTAACTGGACTATGACTGGATATCAAACTGGGGCCAACGTTTGTCTGCATTGAATATCAAAAACGGACCAAAATTCTCATTGAATTGACTTATTCTCTAAACTATGGAAGCTCATGTCTGCCATTGTGACACAAAAAAAGATTCTGTATAATAAGAACCCTTCGAAATATTTTACTTCAAAATGATGAGTTAGTATCACAAAGTCATTA